GATCATCCAGTCATCCGGTCCAGGTCACGTGGGTATCATTTGCAAGTGTGGGCGCTCCTGTGCATATGGCCTCTCTTCCCGTTAGCCAGTAGCTCCACTCTCTTCTCGAGTCCTCCTTGGCCACGCCACTGACTCTGGGCCCAAGAGTCCCCAAGTCTCTTCACACTGCTTGAACGGCATTACATTTTAGGAGGAAAAAACCCAAACCCATAGCCATCAAATTGATTTTGATTTATGGTGATCCATGGGTTATAGAATATTGTTGTTAAGTGCCGTCAAGTTGGTTCCAACTCATAGCAACCCTGTATAGTGTTTCAAGGAGTGGCTGGTGGGTTTGACAATCAATTTTCAGTTAGCAATCCAGTGCTTAACCTACTGTGCCACATCAGGATTCCATGTTACAAAGTAGAACACTTCATAAGGTTTCTTTGGATATAATCTTTATGGAATCCTGGTGTGGCACTAACCATGAGACCCATTCAAACCCACCAGCTGCTTCTTGCCAACCCTATACAAGGTTGCTGTGAGTCGGAAACTGACTTGATGGCCCATAGCTAGAGACTTTAACAACAACAAAAGGCTAGGAAGGTGATCTTGGTCTCTGGTGATGTTGACAAGAGCAGGGTGGATGGAACAGTAGGGACAGAAAGCTGGTTGGAGAAGTCTGAGCTCTGGTAGCGTAGTGTTTATGAGCCGGGCTGCCAATCTCAAGGTCAGCAGTTTGAAATTACTAGATGTTCTTTGGAAGAAAGATGAAGCTTTCTGCTCACATAAAGATTTATGGCCTCAGAAACACTGTATACAGGGCCACTGTGAGTGGGAACCTCCCCAGCATACCACCACCACCAACAACAAAGAGAGAATGGGAGGAGAGGAAGAGGAGCTAGAGACTTTAACTCCCTTCAGGTTGTTGGAGCAGAGAAATAGGTCTGTGAGTCTTTCCTTTTTCAATTAACTTTTAGTATGAGGGGACTTCAAAAAGTTGGAAAATTCCATGAGCTTATCATTCATGTTTCCACAAATTTTTTTTTCAATAGAAATCAAACAACTTTTAATTAAGACACACAGACTCATATTTAATAATTGGTAGTTGCTTTCTATATTCCACAGTTCACATTGTAACAGCTTCAAGGCCAACCTTTGCTTCTTGTCTTCTGGCTTTGGTATACTTTTGGAAGTTGTGTCAGCAGAGTCTTTCCCCAAGTGCACAGGCCCGGAGACCCTGGCTCTCCAGCACCAGTAATGGGGTGCTACATTTGACCATAGGAGCTCTGGTAGCATAGTGGTTATGAATTGAGCTGCTAACCTCAAGGTCGGCAGATCGAAACTACCAGCGGTTCCGTGGGAGAAAGATGAGGTGGTCTGTTTTCGTAAAGATTTACAGCCTTGGAAACCCTATGTAGGGTCGCTATGAGTCAGAACCAACGCCACGGTACTTAACAACATTATTTGACCATGCACATGCCTATCTGCTGGGGTCCAGCTTTGGGTCTGTCACCCAAACAGGTTCCAGGTTATGTGCCAACTCTGACTAACAACAGGGACTGTTTGGAGTCCTGGTTGAGAGACTAGTCTAGTTTTCATTACAAAGAAGGCTGTGATTGGTTAGCCATACCTACACAGCAGGGGCCATGGTGAACACTACCCATTAGAAATGTGTGGAATAGGGAAACTGAGGAAGGAACAGCAGGCCAGTTATGGCCTCAGAAAAGGACTAGGAGGGATGCCCATCCTTGCCACACATGGCGGTCCTCTCCAAACCAGGCTAAAGAAGTGAGTAACTTCTCCAGATCTTGGGTGGGACAACTTA